ACTGACCCGAAGCTTCAGTCGAGCAAAAACACCAGCTTCTTATCAACACAATAACAGCCACTGAAAGACAACAAAAGCATCTTTAACTATCTTTTAAAGTGACTTTCATTTTTGCACATCACTGGAAATTTGACTTGCACTCAATTAATCTGCTATTGTAAATCACAGGCTCGCTCCTACCCGTGCAGACACACACACTTCTCACACAAACACCAGAAAAAATAAATAAATAAAATAAAATGTACTCAGAAAGCAGCTCAGATCACACACAGACATCCTGTGGGCCGCTCCTGCCTGGCTGCAAACTGATAAGCATTAGCCCTGCAACAGTCATCTCACTTTGAAGGCTGTGAGTAATTCAGGATTTATCTGTATCACAGCTGGTCCTAGTGTAAGATACTTTGAAGCGACCTGCTTTCTGTTACAGGACTAAAGGCGCTTTCAAACTTGGCAATTATCTGTTTCCTCCAATAGAATGATGGAAAGTGGTACACAATGAACGAACAACAGTAAAGCATTGCATTTATTTGATAAAAACTAAGGGTGTAAATCTCCAGCTTTATAACAATAAGATGTATCGATTTATTTGGATGCCGATTCAAGGTTTTTAAATTTCCTAAAGTACTGTGATACAATTTTAATTCAATTCACATCTGCAGTCAATGAGATATCATATGCCCATCTAAGACAATCATTATATTGACCCACATCAAGCATTTGATGAGAATATGTGTCGATTTTTTGTTTGTTTTGCCTTGATGCAATTGAATTAGTCATTTAATCGATATATTGATGTGGATCAATTTGTTGTTACTTCCAATAAAAACTTGACCTAATATTTTTCTAATTCAAGAGGAATAGTTAAATTTAAAAAAAATCCTGTACGATTTAGTTTATTCATATATTTTTGATTTTGCCTCCTAATGGCAACTAGGATATATCATGTAAAATCCACTTTTTTAGACATTAAATGCATTTTGTTGTGTCCTTAGAGTCACTATGAATGCAGAAAAGTTTAATGTAGTCCCTCACAATTTTGCRTTCTGTTTGAGTCATATTTTTCAACCCATTCAGCTTTCTCCATTTTCTTTGATGTTTTTGCGACAGGACTGCCAAATAATGGTGCGTTCACACCAAACGCGATTTCAGCATCAGGAGCATCAGGTTTACATGCAAAGTCTATGGTGGTCGCGCTTCAAGCAGCGTCGGGAAGTGCTGCGGCGCCTCAAGCGCAATTCGAGCAGCGCGATTTGAACGATTTGAACGATCTGAGCGTTCGACGTGCTTGATGCGCAAATCGCTGAAGTTAGAAAATCTGAACTGTTGCAGCTCGACGCG